ACACCCGAACAAGCAGTAAACCTAATTCGACATAATCAGTGTGAAAAACAGAGACACAAGTTAGAGACCTGTTCTCGTGGAGCCCCCTCAGAAGGCAGAGCGGCCTTGCTATAAAAATCACGAAGGTCATATTAAAAGCAACTGTAGTGAAATAACACTAAATATCAGACAGGCAGGAAAAAAACAGCACATTCTTATTTGACAGGTGAGAAAAGACAAGAGCTCTGGAGCAAATCTCCATTTTCTGTCTGTAACAGTTCATAGTCAATGACAGGTAAACAGATTTTTCACTAACTACATGCTAGATTTATAGACATAAACATTTTCACCAGCTGAGTCTAATGGTGACTGAGTCCTTTCCAGAATGTCTTTATGATGTTGCAGCATAAATATCAATAACGCTCCAAAACACTGTTGTATTTTTAGAAAAACATCCTAAAATTGGTCCTTCTGCATAAATCTGAGCATTTAAACCTGAACGGGTGGGACCGAATGTGCATCTTGTGCAGAAATCTGCATGCCGTGAGGAAACGAGGACCTTTGCTGCTGCTGCTTCAGTATGGAATGAAACAAGGATCACTCTCCAGTGTATTCCTCCTGGTGGACTTGCATGTCCACCCGCAGAGACGGCCTCATCGTGTGATCTCTGAGACAGAATACTGATGCTGTCCTTGCAGACGGAAGGTGCGATGGAGAGGAGCCACGTGTGCGCAGGTACATCGAGCTGCTGGGTGCTTCCAGGCGTCTGTCGCCTGGCGAGAGTCTGAATTTTGAAACTTTAACACTGACTGGTCTTCTCCTGGCATATGAAGCACTCCTGCTCCTTTTCCTCTGAGTTGCTGTCGGCCTGCTTCTGCCCGCCAGTGTTGGTGTTGGTCTGAGCGGCGTTGCTGTTGCTCTGTTTCTCCACAAGGTGGTGCTGCCGCTCCTCACTGTGCCACATGCCGTAGCCAAAATAAATCAGGAATCCTACAGAGAAAAAGCAGCAAGAAATTACAACTTTAATACAAATACATTCTTTAAAAGCACAGATTAAATTGTTTATTTAATAGATCTTGTTATTTTCCTTTTCATAACAGTACAGGAACACTTTAAATTACTGAGCTCCGAATGCAGTGGTGTCCAATCCTGGTTAGGGCCACCGTACTGCATATTTTAGAGCCGCTTCTGCAGAGCTTGGTGATCTGAACGAGGGATTAAACCATCGAATCAGGCGTGCTGGAGCAGGGAAACAACTAAACCAGGGATAGACATCTCCTTTCCCTGAGGGCTCATATCCAGCAGGTTTTAGTTGTTTCCCTGCTTCAACACACCTGATTCCAATCCGCAGGTGATTATTGGCTTCTGCAGAGCTGAATGAGCTGCTGAACAGGTGAGCTGGAGCAGGGAAACAACTAAAAATGCTGGATAGGGGATCTCAAGGACCAGGATGGGACACATCTCCACCACAAGGTCTAAATCCACATCAAACCCCTTTTAATGCAGTTTAAAGAGTCTCTTCACTAAAATAGCTTGCATCTGGTTTGCATTTACATGTCAGCAGTAGAAAATAGAAAAAAAAGGCTTAAAAAACTAAAACCAGTTTGAACAGGAAAAAATGTTGCTGTTGAAGCAGTCAATCAGCTTTTGCCAATCCTGTCTTTTTTTAGGCTTGTGTGCTTTTTTATTCACATTTTCTCATCTTAAAGGTGCAATTTGTAATAATTCTGTACAGTGAAAACAAAAAATCACAAAACTGTCTAGTATCAAAATCACGTTGAAAGGAAGATTACACTGAAACAGATTTAACTCGCAGCCAGAAAAAGCCCACAGGGGTTGTCGGTTTTTTCTCCTTTCGAGTCAAACAAAAGCTGGACGTAGTTATTATTTATTTTCTGTGAGTTTGTCAGGTTGCCAAATCTGCAGCAGGCCAATGAAGCAGCGCAGGCTTTTTTAATTAGACATCCACAGGCGATAAGCTCCAAAGATGCTTAAAGAATCAAAGCCAGTAAACCAGATCAAACCAGAAGTTATTTCTTGTACCCCTAAGAAGCCACGTCATCTTTTTGTTTTACGCTAATATCGGGTAAAGCAGGCGAGATACCAACGATGAGCTACTTATGCTAACGGTGACTTGGAAGCAAATAGTTGGCTCTAAAAATATCTCAAGCAAAATTTTCAATTACCAAAAAACTTGATATTACAGTGAAATGCACGTGTGAAGCAAAAAGGAGTCAATTGTGATGTTTTACTTCTTTTAGTGAGTCATCCAGATCTTTAACAGCAAGACGGCAAACAACCACACTTCCTGTAATGCCGCAAACAAATTACCGTAACAAGTGTAGTAAGTTGGAGAAGGCTTATGACCGTGTCCCCAGGGGCACCCTGTGGGGGATGCTCCAGGAGTATGGGGTGGGTGGCTTTCTGTTAAGGGCCATTCAGTCCCTTTACCAGAGGAGCGTGAGTTTGGTCCGCATAGCCGGTAGTAAGTCGGACCTGTTCCCAGTGAGGGTTGGACTCCGCCAGGGCTGCCCTTTGTCACCGGTTCTGTTCATCACTTTTATGGACAGAATTTCTAGACGCAGCCGTGGTGTGGAGTGTGTCGAGTTTGGTGGCAGGAGAATCTCGTCTCTGCTTTTTGCGGATGATGTGGTCCTCCTAGCTTCATCCAGCTCTGACCTTCAGCTCTTGCTGGGTAGGTTCGCGGCCGAGTGTGAAGCGGCTGGGATGAGGATCAGCACCTCCAAATCTGAGACCATGGTTCTCGACCGGAAAAGGGTGGCTTGCCACCTCCGGGTCGAGGGAGAGGTCCTACCTCAAGTGGAGGAGTTTAAGTATCTCGGGGTCTTGTTCACGAGTGAGGGTAGGAGGGATCGGGAGATCGACAGGCGGATTGGTTCGGCGTCTGCAGTGATGCGGACGCTGAGCCGATCTGTCGTGGTGAAGAGGGAGCTGAGCCAGAAAGCCAGGCTCTCGATTTACCGGTCGATCTACGTCCCAATCCTCACCTATGGTCATGAGCTTTGGGTAATGACCGAAAGAACGAGATCGCGGATACAAGCGGCTGAAATGAGTTTCCTCCGTAGGGTGGCCGGGCTCAGCCTTAGAGATAGGGTGAGGAGCTCGGACATTCGGGAGGGACTCGGAGTAGAACCGCTGCTCCTCCGGATCGAAAGGAGCCAGTTGAGGTGGTTTGGGCATCTGGTCAGGATGCCTCCTGGACGCCTCCCCGAGGAGGTGTTTCGGGCATGTCCTGCCGGCAGAAGGCCCCCGGGTCGACCCAGGACACGTTGGAGAGGTTACATCTCCAATCTGGTCCGGGAACACCTTGGGGTCCTGCCGGAGGAGCTGGTGGACAAGGCCGGGGAGAGGACGGCCTGGAGCTCCCTAGTTGGGATGCTGCCCCCGCGACCCGGACCCGGATAAGCGGAGGAAGACGACGACGACGACGAAGTGTAGTAAGTGCTCCCTACCATAAAACACCCAGTAGTACTAACACCAGATATGACTATGTATTTATCTATATATCAACTTACTGTGCGTGACTCGTCTTTGCTTGTCATCTAAAATCTCCTGACACTGATCCATAACTGGCAACCGTCATGCAACTCACGGAACGTGAATGGCTGATAATATTTTTTCTCAAAAAAATGGACTGCAGTGACAACATTTGACCACAGGATGTCATAGTTACAAATTGCACCTTTAAATTTTCTCCATTCTCCTATTTTTTTATTATGATCTTGTTCTAATCTTTTTTTTTTGTATTCTTTTTGTGCAGCACATCTTTATATATTTAGTTTTGGATCATCATAAACTCACCCACAGCCATCCACACTGAGAAACGTATCCAAGTGTCTCCACTCAGCTGCACCATCAGGTAAATGTTAACAAATATGCTCAGAATTGGGAGGAACGGCAGGAGGGGGACCTAGGATGACAGTAACCCAGACAGCAGCTGTCAGTCTCACTGTGATGGTGGACATTCTATCATGCTGGACTTGTCCTCTACGCACCATGAAGGAGACCTTCTTGGTGGTCTGAGGTTGCCTGCAGACCATGAGCACGCAGGCGCCAAAGATAACAAGACAAACGGACAACACAGCCAAGAGCCACACCTCCAAACCAAAAAGCGACCCGAAGTGGTAGGTGGTGAGGTAGCTGACAACACACACGACCAGCACTGTGTTTGGAGAACACACACATTATATCATCCAGAACAATGGCAGGGGTTCATTATAGACTATGAGTATAGAAGGTAAGATGCAGTTTCCATACCTAACACACTGATGGACATGTTGACCACACTGGATGACTGCTCAGATGGTAAAGCCGGAGGGTGCAGTGCAGCCTGAAGGGCGGTGCTGCCACCTTTAAGCATGTTGAGGTGGGACTCTGATTCCGTCAGCTCAGACTCACCTTCAGATGACAGGAAGTCCCTTCCAGCTTTACCTGCTGGCCGCTCCATAGCTCCATCAGGCTGGTACCTGGAGAACAGGAGCAACAGAATTTCTCCTTTTCTTAAAGCCATGAAAAGCTCCCAGATGTAGCTCATATCCTCCACCAAGCCACTTGGATTGTGAAACATCACATCATCTGGTTCTGCTTTGCAAAACAAGTGAGCTCTGGATCCAGTTTGTACCGGAGAACCAAGCTGAGGCTTTGGTGATCGGCTGGTGCCGAGTCGGCAGAGGTTTAGCAAGCTACCGCAAACACTTTCATGTACTCAAGCTGCCTCTTAGCATTGGTACAATGGGAGCATTCAGAGCTCTTACATCACTGAGGTGATGCAACAACAAACATGGTTACCATGCCTGGGGGCGTTCCAAAGTCCCTAAAAGGGAGGGAATTTCACAATGTTGAACAAATAAACTTTCTCCGAAGACCCATTCTAAGAGACTTAAATGAATATGCCCACCTGAGAATGAGCACACACACAGCAACCAGTGAGTAGGCCAGCAGGGTGCCGATAGACATCATGTCAACCAGGGCTTTCAGGTCAAACAGGAAGGCCATGACGGCTGTGCAAAGCAAAGGGTTCAAATAAAGATGAGTGCAGACGAGTTCAGATAACAAAAAGGATGATTACTGAAAACAGCTATAAACCATTAATTTGCACCCACACATCCGTTATGCAAAGCACTGACGGTCTTGCACAAGCAAAAATTAAAAAGCTGTTTATGTTCAGATGCAAATACAAGTTAAATTAAAAATCATGCGACCATGTTTCCAAATAGCAAAGGAATTTCATTAAATGTGTCCCTGTTGAAACATGGCAGCTGTGACCATCTCAAAGCCAAGCACCACCTGATGTCTCACCAGCTGGCAGTATGGAGCACATTTAAGTGCAGAGGCTTAAGGCTGCACACCGTGGATGTGGAGCTGAAAACCCCCACTTGCTCACAATCACGCTGTTTTTAAGCATCAGAAATTCATCTGAACATACAGCAACAAGGTAGGAATTGCATGAATCAACGGGCTTCAACACCTAGAAAAAAACGATCAGAGGCTCCATTATGATACTATTGGGCCATTCCCATCTGTACCGGGTTGGCGCGGGCCGGGTAGCGTAGGTTGTTTACATATCTGGGTGGCCTGGTATTTTTCCGGGCCAACCAAGGCTCATTCTCAGCCCTCTTCTCGAGGGGGTCTGCTTCAGGCCGACCAGGGCCAACACACCCACTGCTGACAGCAAACTCACACCTTCCATTAGAGCAAGCCTCTGATTGGTGGGTAGAATCAGCCCACATGGGCTTAAGACAAGGATGTGTGGAATCAACCGGGCCAGGCTGGGGCCGACTGGGGCTACCCGGCCCGGGCCGACCCGGTACAGATGGGAATGGCCCATAAGAAACTATTTCAATGGAGATGTTAGGCTTTAAAGCCCCATTCTGCAACTTTTACACCTTAAATAACGGTATTTGTTGTTGTTGTTTTTGTTTTGGCAGCATACTATCATCTATTATGTTCATTTTTGAAGCTGTGATAGTGTTATGGGGTTCCATGTCTGTTTACCGCTCTATACAGTTTTTGACCCACCACCGATCTACTGACTGCATGTTGCAGTATCACGTAGACCCCTTCGGGTGTTGGATAGCGTAACAGCATCGCTGCCATCCAAAGCAGTGACTGTAGAAAAGTCCAAAGTCAATGCAGAGTGAGCAAATTGTGTCTGATTTTGTGAAAAAGCGTGATAAAATGTGTTTTTTAGTTGGATAGCATCTTTCCTAGTAGAAATTAATGTACTGGGGACAAACGGAGACCCATCTAAAATGGTGGCCACTACGGCATCACCAGTCTACGGGGCGTCTACGTACAGTACAGACCAAAAATTTGGACACACCTTCTCATTCAATGTGTTTTCTTTATTTTTATGACCATGACCATTTATAAAGCGGCCAACAAGTGCTAAACACCTCTAGGAAATCCTTCAAGACCATTTCAGGTGACTACCTTTTGAAGCTCATAAAGAGAATGGCAAGAATGTACAAAGCAAAGGGTGGCTATTTTGAAGAAAATAGAATATAAAACATGTTTTCTGGTTAAGTACATAACTCCACACGTGTTCATTCATAGTTTTAATGCCTTTAGTGGGAAAGAAAACACACAATGAGAAGGTGTGTCTACACTTTTGGCCTGCATTGTGGTAGACCCAGAGTTTAGAGACTTCAGCAATGGCAGATCCACCAAAGAAAGCCAGAAATCCCTTATCAGAAGAATCTAGGAAAATATAAAGAGAACGTGATAGAGAAAGAGCGTAGACTGGAGTTAATATTGGGCCGGCTTTTCCTCGCTGAAGAGCTCTTCTTGAAAGAACAGCATGTACTACGGACTCTGACCTAGCCGTGCTGCTAATGGATAGGTAAGTAATAAATGATTTCAACTGGGTTATTGTGTTGGTTGGGCATAAAGTTGTTATCCAGTTCTGATGAAACTTTATTCAATGCTGGAATGCCGATTGGGCACGCGAGTTGGAAAACAACCAATAAACATGCCTCTTATTCGTGACAGATTTGATTTTACGACAATGAAGTTACGCAGCAAGCCTTGAGAGGGCGACTGTTATGGACAAATTTATGTTTATTAATTCTTGATCATTGACTCAATCAACTGAATGTAAATGTATTGCTCTATGCCTCTTTGATCATGCTCACTCATTCAGACACACCCACACAAGCCACACACACACACACACACACACACACACACACACACACACACACACACACACACACACACATATTCTTGACTTCCCACACTGACTACGTTTACATGCTGCCAATATCCGGGTTATGATCGGGTTAAGGTCGGGATTCAGGTTTCTGAGTTGATCAGAATAACCCGTTTACAAGCATAAATGGAAAGAGTTACCCCTAACTTGCATAACCCGATTTAAATGCGGACGTTGGGGTAGCGTCAGGACGTGTGGACTACGTCCAGACGCAATATGCCTCATTTCCGGTTCTTCTTGTTCCGGTATCCGCGAAAACAAAAACATGTTTCCCAGTTCGGAAGAGATAGCGACCGCGTTTGTGCTTTAGTTTCCTTGTCACTCCAAAAGTGTGGTGCTGTGCCGCAACTCGCCATGTTGCTCCCAACTTGTTGTTTACTTCGGTGTTCTGGCGCATACAAGACGTCTCGCTACTCTAAAGACCAAGATTCCTTGTGAACAGAGCATGTGCAGAACACACGCTTTGATGGGGATATCCCGATATGCGTTTAACACGACCAAACATTCGGGTTAGAAAAGGGTTACCCCAGGTGTAGTAACCGGGGTTTTTAAAAACCCGGTTATGAGCATATCCGGGTTTCTGGCGGTGTTTACATGGACCTGCGGAACCGGGTTATTGTGAATTTCTTCTCTCTCTCTCTCTCTCTCTCCTCTCTCTCTCTCTCTCTCTCTCTCTCTCTCTCTTCTCTCTCTCTCTCTCCTCTCTTCTCTCTCTCTCTCTCTCTCTCTCTCTCTCTCTCTCTCTCTCTCTCTCTCTCTCTCTCTCTCTCTTCTCTCTCTCTCTCTCTCTCTCTCCTCTCTCTCTCTCTCTCTCTCTCTCTCTCTCTCTCTCTCCCTCTCTCTCTCTCACTCTCTAAATAAATAAATTCTGCGACCGGATGTTCGGTGCATTTGCCTCGAGCATCTTGCCACAGTTATAACTGTTTGACTTGTTGATCAATGTCTCCTTCTCTCTTCACTATAGGAAATGGGTTATTGATAAACATATTGATAAATCCGTGACAGTATTTGGTCCTTCGAAAGCCGGGGTCCCATCACTTCGCGGCGCCAAGAACGGATGCCGGAGGACTGTCGACAACCAAAATCTACTCCAGCGCTGAGTTTTGCTGGGGGGTCTGCCTGTGGCGCTCAACCAGCTGGCTCCGCAGGTGGGAGGGAGGTCATGGGGAAGCACAGAGAGCAGTGAGTCCTTTAGCTTAATGACCTCGGTAGGAGACCACAATCTGAAGGCGCGGGGGGGGTGGGGGGGGTGGGGGTGGATAGAGTTTCACAGCATTTGTCTGCATTCCTTCCAGCGTGGGGTTTTTTTGCACGCAACTTCAAGGCTGCTTATGGCGTCAGATTCGATAACAGAACTTTGTTTGGGTCAGCAGAGATAATTTTTCCTCTCTGCCTTAAAGTCTGTATTGATCATTCAAGTCCTCCAGTGAAGCCAATTAGGTGATTAAACATCTCCACACCGTCCCGGTGACCCTTTCCGAGATGTTATCAATCCTGCGCGCTAACACCGGTAACGCAGCTAAGACATTGTCCAGCTTGCGAGTCACCTCGAGCAACATCCCAGTCTGTGAGGTATCCACACGGACGGTGCCGTCCATGGTTGCGGGTCGCCCTCCAATCGCTCCCGTCATCACCAATTTTACGGAAAGCCAGATATCCTCCCACTCCAATCAGGAAGAAATCCGACGATCATCAGGCCAAATATCCACATATCTTCGACGTCCTCAATGGACAGCTGAGAGAGGCAGATGATATTCCACTTATTCCAGGAATCGAACATATATCCCGCTGCATGTGTCCCGTGAGGGCAAGCGCGAGCCCCCTCCTCCATCCTCATTGTAGAAAAAATCTTATCAATCGCGTTGAATGACCAATTAATTAAATCCATGCTGAAAAATAGTGATTGCAGAGGAAATGCAGAGAAGCGCTCTGTAGGCAGACGGGACAAAAAGAGCCTTGGGAAAATACAGATAAGGAGGAAAAGGCAGAAGCGACTGCTCCCTGTGAGTGCGGAAGATTGGCGTGGCCTTTGGGCGTTTAGCCTTGAATATGAAACGCGACTCTAGTTATTCTGTTGTTTGTGGTCTTAGATGTTGTCTCCTTTAATTGTGTTTGGATAAATGAGAGTGTATGGGTTGCTTTGTACGTGTGGTATCTATGTATGGGGGGAAATTAGAACTCACAAAATACCTTCTGAGTAAATATTGCACATTGAAGGAAATGTAGATCCAGGAAATGTGGAAATGGTCTGAAAATTATCAGAGGGTTGATGGAAAATGTGATTTTGATAACCGCTGACGTGTCACAAATGTATTATGCTTATGAGGAAGCACAGAGCGGTAGAGAGATAAAAGAGTTGAAGTTGTGTAACAGAGAGAGAGAGAGCACAGCCAGGCTCAAACAAACAAACAAACAAACAAACAAAAAAGAAATAACCCAAAATAACGGTTGCTGTGCTCTGAGCTAATAAGGTCGTATCAATTGCGGCCTGAAGGTCATAACTAGAAAATAAAGATGAAAAATATAATTTGAACAGGTTCTCAAAATTGTGATTTACTTATTTGTTTTTGCTATTAAGCACAGCTGTTGAGTACTTTATTGCATCTGAGACCCTCCGTGTTGACTTCAGTAAGTCCAGTCAACATATTCCATGTTCAGAATGCACGCTGTCCACAGAGGTGGACATGTAGTAAATCATACAGAGCCACCTTACCTTACTGAATATATGTGGAGTTGAAGTTTTATTTTTCCAATTAGGACTGGTTTTGTTGTTAGTTAATTCCAGTGTTA